TCCATAATGAAATAATTAAATATACATTTCATACATTTCTGCCATGGTTATGATAAGTTTGCATTTAATGATATTTTATTAAACATGTATTTATTTTATGCTACATTTAGTTCATCATTTAATTATGTATTCAGTTATTTTGTCTCTTTTAAACCTCCGTAGTTTTCTGGTGGGTGGATGATTTTTCTGTGTGAGTGTGAGATCTGTTTCAGAGAGGATCTTTGTTGAGCGCTTCTCTAATCTCAATGTAGTGATGCTCTTTAGTGCCATCTTTAGTTGCTCTATCCACCTATTCAAGCAGTAAATGACTAATTTGGCTGTGAAACCTTTGATTTTAGGAAGAAGTGAGTCATTTGCATCATGTAAATAACAATAAATGAAAAGAAAAGTAGTTTCATGTGATGACCAGCCCCGCTGCCGCTGATATAAATTATTTTCAGGAATAATACTGGAAGGATGGTGATTTGTTCTCACAGCAGATCATTGACATTGATCCTCCCGAAGACAGCCTGATCAGATGACCCAATCAGCTTCTGGATCCACCGAGCGTCCGCTGAACGGCTCCTTCTGACGGTCAGATTTTCCTCCGTGCTCCAGGTCGACCTCATGCTCTCCTGGGATTATTATTGGATGGAAACTCAGTGGCTTCTTCCTACCAAACCTCGGTTGGTCTTTTTTGATTCAAACTTTTTGACTTTAACTCGATAAACAGCTCTTTTCTGTCTCCTTATGAAGTTCAGTTGATTCCGTTTCTATAGCAACAGCACGCCGCCTGCAACGAACACTCTCGCGGCACTTTGGAGCCGCGCGGCATTATGGGTGCTGTCATGGCGGCTACCTGCTGGTGTTAGAAAAACGTTTCAGAGTGTGTCTTCTGGAAGCTGCTGCAGGTGGTTTTGGGTGGTATTATTTTCTTTAATAGTTTGCCAGCTACGGTACCGGTTGGAGTCACCGGCAACATGGCGTCTACAGCGGCGGGAAAGCAGCGCATCCCGAAGGTGGCGAAGGTAAGAAACCCCGAGCAAGATTAGCACCTCGCGGCTAATGCTAACAGCCGCTAAAAAGGGGGCAGATTTAATAATAGGTAGATTTTATAACTATACACTATGATTTATTTTACTCATTTATATACAATTTAAACTTTGTGGGGTTATTTAGGCTCAAATAATATTGTTTTCTACTTACTTCTATTAGTTTGTTTCAACAATCCTAACGTTAGCTTCCGTCTGGACTAAAGAGTTTTTCGACTGTTTTTTTGTTTGTTTTTGACGTGGTTTATATTAGATAAATATCTAAAGTACTAAAGTCTATCAAACATACATCAGGTCATTCTACACTTTCATCAAATTCCTTAAAACTCAAAAGACCAGTTTTATCTCCCCTTTATTTTGAAAATGTTTACAATTTTAGTTATCGGGACAAATCTGAACTTTATTGTTCCGGGATGCTTCTTGTTTCCAACAGCTTGAAATTAGCAAAGAGACTCAATTCATCTATGTCTGTTTAGATATTTTATAGAATACCTAGTTGCAAAAAAAATTAAATTCTGCATTTTTTGGCATCGGGACCACCTTCGATGGGGGAAAGCACCAAAACATCAGTAATTTGACCAGAAAAAAATGTAGTTATTCTGCAAAGTTATGAATGTTCTGTGGGGTTTTTTAAACTTCATTATCATCATTAGATGTAGGTATGCTCAAAAAAAGACAGTTCAAACGGTGAGCTTGGTTATTCTTCATGCTTCGTTAAGTCAGTTTTTGTTCACTTTAGTTGAGAAGACATGGAAAAAGTTTTTCTTTTTTCCCCCAAACATCTTTAAAAGTGGAATAAAACTGAAGTATATGATTTTATATTAATTACAGATGTTTTAAAGAACTTCTATGAACAGTTCAGTCCAGGACCGCTTTGTCTAAAATCTGTTAATTTCAGTATTTTTATTGTCCTTAAATGCTACAGATTGTTTTAAATCGGACTCTGAGAATAAGAGAAGTGCATTTAGACCCACATCCACTACTTTGTGTTTTTCTGAAGTAGAGACAGAGACATTTGGGGCTCAGGTGTTTGTGTTGTTTCAGGTGAAGAATAAAGCTCCTGCAGAGGTTCAGATCACCGCTGAGCAGCTGCTCAGAGAGGCCAAAGAGAGGGAGCTCGAGCTTCTGCCTCCTCCACCCAAACAGAAGATCACTGATAAGGAGGAGCTCAATGACTACAAGCTGAAGAAGAGGAAGGTCAGCTCACTCACCAGACACACTTTCATGCTATGAAACGGTTCAGATTTGCTTCTGCTGACGGAAACCATGAAAGCTGCAGGTTCTGATTCTGTCAAACTTCCTCTGAAAGGGCTTTGAAGACAACATCAGGAAGAACCGGACCGTCATCAGTAACTGGATTAAATACGCACAATGGGAGGAAAGCCTGAAGGAGATCCAGAGGTATTCACCTGATGGCTGGCTTCATTACTGACCTCTGACCCCTACATTAATTTGCTTCATTCTTTTCACATTAAAGTTTATGAGGAGAAGCTTGACCTCATTTCCTCCAGTCTGAACTGTTGAGTGAGTTTCTAAACGATGCATTCAAGTGCCGTCTGCTTTCAGAGCTCGGTCCATCTACGAGCGAGCGCTGGACGTCGATCACAGAAACATCACTCTGTGGCTGAAGTACGCAGAGATGGAGATGAAGAGCCGCCAGGTGAACCACGCCCGCAACATCTGGGACAGAGCCATCACCATCCTGCCCCGGGTCAACCAGTTCTGGTAGGACCAGGGCTCCCAGTACACGGGCGTCCATATTGGACCCGTTCTGCTTTCTAAAGCTGCTCCACTTTAATACACTTTATTTTGTATTATTCAGTGCTTTAAATGAATTCAAATGATCAATAGTTCAAATGTCAGCCCGTTTTTAAATGAGCCGATTGATTAAACTGCTGTGCAGGTCAGCCAATCACGTTAGAGTATATGACATGTTTCCATAAATACTGAAAATATTTAATGTGATGAATTCAACTTTAATTGATTTGCACATCTATATAGATGTGTCTTTTATTTCAGTTTTAAACTATTGCATGTGTAAATATTAGGGCTGTTGTAAACGAACATTTTAGTAATCGAGTAATCTATTGATTATTCAGGTAATCGGATAAAAAAAGATCAAATAAAACATTGGTAAATCTAACATACCAGTGTTATTGTCGCATATCAACATCAGTCCAATTTTTCACATTTGAGCTTCTCTAAGTTACTTTTTTCTGTAGTTTAGAAAATTAACCTGTAACAATAACAGCTCATTTTCTAAGTTAACCTGAATAAAAGTTATACAAAAATCTGAAATTCTATTCATTGTGATGATAAAGAGGCTCTGATAGCCTGTCTGTTGTGAGCAGGTTCTAATAAAAATGTCTTTTCTCCAGCTGTTGGTTTATGATTCATCTTCAGTCAGTTTAACAGGTGAACTCTCACCTCGGCCAACATTTATAGCTTTGTGTTCATGTTAGCGACGGGATTTCACTCGTCACACAGAAACATCTTCCAGGTATGTAACGTCACCCATCTGGGATGATATGAAATTTATATTCCGGTATTTTCATAAAGCTGCGCGTCAAAGCAGAGCCGCCTGCCGTGTTCAGTCTATCCGCCGAACTCCAGGCATCGCTCCCGTCACTTTAAGGATTTTATCGGTCCCCCGAAAACGAAACAACAAAACGTATTATAACGAGGCTTCGAGGCAGATCAATTTTCCTCCAGGAATATTAATAATCAAGCAACTCGAATCACTCGAGGAATCGTTTCAGGCCTAGTAAATATTGTTTTGTACAATATTGTTATGTTGAGGGTGTTAGACGGTTTAGCTGTCGGCGTTTCTCACGGTAACTTGGCTCTGCTGCTCCTGCAGGTACAAATACACCTACATGGAGGAGATGCTGGGCAACGTGGCCGGCTGCAGGCAGGTGTTTGAGCGCTGGATGGAGTGGGAGCCGGAGGAGCAGGCCTGGCACTCCTACATCAACTTTGAGCTGCGCTATAAGGAAGTGGACAAAGCCCGGAGCATCTATGAGCGATATATCCTGATGTTTGGTTTGGTGATGTTTAGGGACAATCTGGAGGCCCGTTTTCAGTTTGTACCCCGGATTGGTGTAGGAGCTGCTCAAAGTTTACGGTCGGAGCGATTTCCAGGATTTTCCATCCTGATTTGGTTGAATATTGATGTACCAATACTGCATGATCGTTTTTACATCAGATCCTTTAGGTAAAATGGAAGTGATTCAGAAACCAATCCTGAGCGCTTCCAGGTCGACAGCCGTGATTTCCTTGACTCCTGTGAACTCGTCATGGTCCACCCCGAGGTGAAGAACTGGATCAAGTACGCTCGCTTCGAGGAGAAGCACGGCTACGTGGCGCACAGCAGGAAGGTGTACGAGCGAGCCGTGGAGTTCTTTGGGGAGGAATACGTGGACGAGAATCTGTTTGTGGCCTTCGCCAGGTTCGAGGAGACCCAGAAGGAGGCGAGTTCTGACAGAGCTGTGACCTTTGACCCGGTGACTGCTCCCGTGTTTCTCTGACTCTGTGTTCGGTCCACAGTTTGAGCGGGTCCGAGTCATCTACAAGTACGCCCTGGACAGGATCCCCAAGCATCAGGCGCAGGAGCTCTTCAAGAACTACACCATGTTTGAGAAGAAGTTCGGAGACCGCAGAGGAATCGAGGACGTCATCGTCAGCAAGAGAAGGTTCCAGTACGAAGAGGAGGTCAAGGTGGGCGAGGAGCCGCTGGAGGTCAGGGCCGACCGGCTGACCCAGACTGACGCACTCTTCGGTTAAACGCAGGCAAACCCACACAACTACGACGCGTGGTTCGATTACCTGCGCCTGGTGGAGAGCGACACGGACGCCGACACGGTGAGGGAGATCTACGAGAGAGCCATCGCCAACGTGCCGCCCATCCAGGAGAAGAGACACTGGAGGCGCTACGTCTACCTGTGGATCAACTACGCCCTGTACGAGGAGCTGGAGACCAGGGTGGGTTCTGCTACAGCTCAGAGCAGCCAGAACCAGCAGAACCGGGCCTAACCTGTTGATGTTTGGCAGGACCCTGAGAGGACGAGGCAGGTCTACCAGGCGTGTCTGGAGCTCATCCCTCACAAGAAGGTAACTGAACACCTGGAGCCGTCTCTCTGCTGCCACTCTCTGCTTCTGACGGTTCTGGTTCCGTTTCAGTTCACGTTCGCAAAGATCTGGCTGCTCTTTGCCCAGTTTGAGATCCGACAGAAGAACCTGCCAGGAGCCAGAAAGATCATGGTGAGAGCCTGAGCTGGTCTGACCTCTGTGGTCGGTGCTGCTGGTTCTGACCCGTTCTGTGCTGCCAGGGCTCGGCCATCGGGAAATGTCCCAAGAACAAGCTGCTGAAGGGCTACATCGAGCTGGAGCTGCAGCTGCGAGAGTTCGACCGCTGCAGGAAGCTGTATGAGAAGTACCTGGAGTTCAGCCCGGAGAACTGCACCACCTGGATCAAGTTCGCCGAGCTGGAGACCATCCTGGGCGACGTGGAGCGAGCCCGCGCCATCTTTGAGCTCGCCATCAGCCAGCCCAGACTGGACATGCCTGAGGTTTGGATCCCAGTTCTGGTTCTGATCAGCCCGGTCCATGTTCTGCTCTCTTATCTGCTGCTTGGAATGCCGGAGACAAATTATTATTTTGCTTCAGTCATGAGGAAGAGAGTCCAGCTCCTCCTGGCTGCAGTTTGGTTCTTTAGATGTGCTAATAAAATCCCAGAGAACAAAGAGAGACTCCTGTGGGTTGGGTGTATTTCTCTTTTTAAATACGTTCATGGGGTTTGTCTCTGCGTGTCCTGCTGTCCTCCCAGGTCCTCTGGAAGTCCTACATCGACTTTGAGATCGAGCAGGAGCAGTTTGAGAACACGAGGAACCTCTACAAGAGGCTGCTGCAGCGCACGCAGCACGTCAAGGTGAGGGCCGCCGCGTCGCTCTGATGAAAGCCACACGAGGTGGAGCAGCGACTGACCGCCTCGCTCTGCAGGTCTGGATCAGTTACACCAAGTTCGAGCTGTCGGTGGACGGACCCGACCGGCTGCAGCGCAGCCGCCAGACCTACGAAGACGCCAACAAGAGCATGAGGAGCTGCGAGGAGAAGGAGGAGCGACTGATGCTGCTCGAGTCCTGGAGGGACTTTGAGAGGGAGTTTGGCTCCGACGGCACCAGGGAGCGGGTCCGGAAGCTGCTGCCGGAGAAGGTGAAGAAGAGGAGGAAGCTGACGGCCGAAGACGGGGTAAGAACGCAGAAACCGGGAATGATGGGAAATGGGCCGCTTGGTTCTGGAGCGTTAGGAGAGTCGGTCTCCAGAGCTGCAGGAACTTTAGCCGTCCCTCATCACTTTTATCAGTTTAAAGAATAATTAATTACAGGAACAAAGTCATATAAAAAATAAATTATATTAGCAGAATAAAGTCATAAAATGACAAGAAAAGCCGTTTAACGAGAAGAAAACTTTGGTAGTTTTCCAGATCTGGGAAATATTGAGATGTTAGAAGAACCTGCCATCACAAGATGCTCAAAGCTCAGCCACCTCAGATTGTTACTTTATTCTCCTTTTATTTCATTCTCATATTATTTCGACTTCTTGTGTTTTTATTTTTGTATTATTTTCATTCTGTAATGTCGGCCTTAAAACTTGACCTGTTTACTATGAATGTGAAGATCTCGGATCAGCTGATGGATCCTGGAGCGACGCAGAGGAATCGTGTTGATACTGAGAAGCAGCTTCTTCTTCTTCTGTGGTTATTAATGTTGATCTTTCTGCAGTCGGACGCCGGCTGGGAGGAATACTACGACTACATCTTCCCTGAGGACGCCGCCAACCAGCCCAACCTCAAGCTGCTCGCCATGGCCAAGATGTGGAAGAGGCAGCAGGCCAAGGACGACGAAGAGGAGGAGGAGGAGGAAGAGGAGCATCCTGCAAACCCTTCAGAGGAGGAAGAGCGCTCTGAGGAACCGGCAGCGGCTCCTGACAAACCACCGGAGGGCGAGGCCCAGATGGAGAAAACGTACGACGACCGAGACGACAGCAGCAGCAGCGAGAGTGAGGAAGAGGATGGAGGGAAGAAGCAGAGCAGTGAGGAAGACAAAGACTAGACGTTTCTGTATCAGACACGACTCAGACTCAGTTTCTGAAACAGATGTTCATTAGAATTTACAGCAAATTAAATGTTGAAACATTTTGTACATCCAGCGGCTCTCTGAGGTCAGCGGAGGTCGGCGGGTCAGGGAGCCGCGGCCCCACGTTATTCGATGTCCTCCGGCCGGACGGGGTGCGGCAGCGGGATGATGGACTTCTTCTCCGTGTCTCTGGACAGAGCCTTCCTCATGTCTGCAGGGAAACCGTGTTCCAGTCAGGACCACAATAAAAACCGTTTTCTACCTAAACGTTTGGAGAGTTTCAGTAGAAGAAGAGACGGCCGGCCGCCTGAAGGTCAGGAAGCTTTTTAACCCAACAGGAGGTCAGGAGAGGTTCACCCCACAAAACTTGCTACATTTGGGGGTTTTTTTTAATCAATGTTGCTTGGCAACCAGGCTCTCTCGTCCTAACCACGCCCCTTTCCCTGTTGGCCCCGCCCATGGAGTATTTCTGAATTTGTCAGGTGGGGCTTGAGGTTCCTTTCTGTGTAAAGAGCGCCCTCATGTGGTCACAGATTGAACTTTTTACCTTACTAGGCGATTATTCTGATTTCAATGCTCAGTCAGAATTAAAACTCTCCGGTTCAGGCGGATCAGTAGATCCAGACTGATTCCAGTTCTAACCATCAGGACGAAGTTGAGCTGTGGCCTAGTCAAAGTAAGGCGCTGCTGGGTGGCGTACCGTATGCGTCCTCGTCCGGCTCCCCGTTGCTGGCAGAGTAATACTCGATGACGGTGCGGTAGACGCTGTAGCCCAAACGCTTGTACATGTTGACGGCCACCTGGTTGGAGACTCTCACAAAGAGATCCACGAAGAACCCGCCCTTCCTGCAGGTCAAAGGTCACACCTTCAGGGGTCACACACACCCTGCAGAGCCTCCCTCCGGGGGTCAGAGGTCACTCACCTCTCTGAGATCTCCTCCAGCATCTCCATGAGCTTGGCGGCCAGGCCGAGGCGTCTGAACTCCGGGGCCACCGACAGAGCCGTGACGTGGCCGTGCCACTCCTCCCGCGCCACCGATCCCTCCGCCTTCCCCATGACTGACCAGAGAGAGAGACATGATGCTGCTGCAGCAACGCCGCAGCGTGCTGCAGCAGAGCTCCAGGTTGCACTTACTGTAGCCCATCAGCTCTCCGCCCGGCGCTTCAGCCACGATGAAATACTCGGGCCAGTGAGCCAGGTACTGCAGGTAGAACGGGATCCCATACTGCAGGCCGGCTGAGGAAACGGGCACAGCAACACAAAGGGCTGCACAGCCGGGGAGTGGAGGGGAATAATTCAAGGTTTTTATGGTAAAAAGCTGAAAAGTGTGGAGTGCTTTTGTATTCAGCCCGTCTGGGTTTGGCCTCCAGCAGCTCTGAACATCTGAAGGTGAAGCTCATCCACACTCAGGTTTCCTGCAGGATTAGCTCCAGCTTCCAGTCGACTCTGACCTGCTTTCCTGTCCCACAGCATGATGCTGACACCACCATGCGTCACTTAGAGATTGGGTGTTTATAGCGATGAGCAGAGTTTGTCTTATTTTACCTCTACAGGAAACGTTTCAACACTAAAGATTTTATCTGTTAAAAGTAATAAAATTATGTATATTTTTTCCTTCCACTAAACTATACACGTCATATTGGTCACATAACACGCTTTTCAGTTAAATGGGGAGAATATAGAAAGGTTTCTGGGTGTGAACACTTTAGCAGACACTGCAGAAGTAAAAGGACAATATACAGAAAACAATTATTAATATTTAACATTAATAATTGTGCCTGTAAATCTTAAATTCTAAAATATCAGTTATCTAAACATCTAACATGAAAATAAAATGCATGAAACAAATGAGAAAAATAAACATCTGATAAGAGAAGGATACAGTTTCTGTGAGAGGATCCAGGTTTCTGTTGAAAGATTAAAAACATTTAATGGTTAAATTTCCTTTTATTGATCACAAATACGGGAGGAAACTGCCAGTAAGACAACATGAACGAACTCTGAACATATTTGTGCTAAAAATAAGATTTTACGTTAAATTAACGAGTTGAAATATCAGGCTGGAATCAAACATTAACCCAGATGGTTCCGATGGGCCTCAAGGATAATTCGGCATCAGTTTGAAGGAAGCAAATGTTTGAATTGATCAGATAATCTGAGGTAATCCCAGGTATCTGACCGGGTCCGGGTAGAATCCGTCGGCTGGGTTCGGAACAGACGGACGGGTTCTGCCTGAACCGGGCTGCTTCTGACTCACATGTTGTTGAATTTAAACAGATCGTCGCAGGTAAATGGCCGTAATGAAGTCATCTTCCTCCTGCTGCCGCTGCCGTCCACTGAGGAAGAGGAGGAGCTCGAACACCAGCCACTACCACCGGTAGCTCCCCCTGCTGGAACCAGTGAGCACTGCAGCCTCTCCAGGGCCATGTCTGCCCCCTGCTGGGCCAGAGCGGAACGACTCCTCATAGAGAAATCACACGTCGGCCTGGGAGTTATTGTGATAATAAATTTACTGCAAATGATGAAATATGGCTAAAGGTTACCAAACCATCAGACCCACAGGAGCAGTCTGAAATAAGAGGCTTTAGTTGTTCTGGTTTCCACATGTGTTAGGGATTTTTTGTGTTATCATTTATATTATTACTTTAGATCAGTGGTTCTCAACCTGGGTTCGATCGAACGATCACGTTACATTGCTGAGCCAATCAGAGGATCACGTTACATTGCTGAGCCAATCAGAGCTGCGGGAAGGAGCTCCACTCTCAGCATGGATTTGAACTTGTGTCTTTAATTACTTCAGCAAAACTCAGTTTTTACCAAATTCTATAGCTTCTAAATCTGCTCCTTAGTCGCATCTTTTCGGGCCTCCTACTGCCTCTAGTGGCGTGGGGTGGTAACACAGCTAATACAATTGCATTACTAAATCAGAATACCACAAAGTATTTATTTATTATTAATTTTTCTTTCTCTTAAGAATGTAGAGATAATTAAATGATCTAAACAAAACCTTAAAGTGGTTCCAGTTTCTCTCGATGGCCAACCTGTTGAAACTGTGGCAGATTTTAAATATCTTGGCTCGTTCCTGGACAGTCAGCTCAACTTTGCTGAAAACATTCACTGTATTTTGAAGAACTGTTCTCAGAGACTCTACCTTTTAAAAAGACTTGGTGATCTTGGGGTGACCCAACTAGACTCTAGTTGGGTCACCCCAAGACTCTACTGGTGGTGGTACTGGTGGTACCGGAAACTGGTACCACCAGTACCAGGTACCAAAACTGGTGGGTTCGGTACCTCAAAAAAGGTTAAGAACCACTGCTTTAGATCATTATTCAGTCTAATGTTAATCAGTAGTGACGTGCTGTGCTAAAACCTTTTGATCGCTGTGTTGAATATCTGAGTTCCTGAGAACTGATTGTTCCCTGAGTGATGGATGGAGCTGCCATCTGTTTTTATTGTTTATCTTTTCTCACTTTGTTTTCCCAAATAAAAGGCTTTAGCAGAGAGAGCAGAACGCTGAGTGATCGTTTGCTGAGTCTTCTCCAAATTCATTTACGTTGTCTGTGGTTCTTTTATGTAGGTTCACAAAAAATACCTATCAACATGAGCTTAAACATGTGACCTGCTTGAGCTTCCAGGCAAATTCTCTGCTGACACAATAATCAACCACAGTGTTTCAGTCAGCATGAGTCAGTTTAATGCACAGGTCCGTGTAGAAGGATAAAAGAAGGAAACAACAGTAACTAGAAGAATAAATAAATACAAAAAGTACAAACTAAAATATGCAAAAATAACAACTTGCAGATAAACATAAAAAACAACCAATAAATAAATGCAAAAGTTAAGTCAATGTTTATTTCTATTGTACATTTAAAGTTCACCAAAGTTCTGCTCAAAACAAGAAAAAAATCAGATAAGTGTAATAATCCAGTCTAAAATGTTGTGGGTTTCTAGAACCAGAACCTGCTGGGTTCTGGACGGGTTAGAGGTCCAGCAGGTCAGAGCTCTGGTTCCGCCAGAAGCAGCAGGTAAAGGGTTAAAACTCCTCAGGACCTGAACTGTTCATCTGCCGCGCTCAGCAGGTGTAGGGGGCGTGGCCACCGCTCAGGTGTGAAGGCGCTGCTGAGCTCAGCGGCTTCAGACGAACTTCCGCCATGATGAAGGCTCTGCTGTGGCTGTGCGGAGTCTTCCTCATCCCCGCTGCAGCTCCGAACAGGTAACCTCACCTGGAGGGACACGGAACTATCTGTAGAACTATTAAGATTTTAATAAATTCATTTTGATCAATTATCTGTTTTTTAAAATAATTATTAGGTTGTCTTTGAAATATTGTTTTAAGTTTAACATTTTAATAACTAATATTTATTTCATCACCAAACCATTTGAGTCTGTTATTCATTTTTGCTAATTAGTTTTCTAGTTATATAAAGTAAATAATTGATCTTTACTTTTTAGCATTAAACAATTTATATTTTAGATTTTTTTCCTTCACATTTTTATTTATTATTTAGACCAGTGGTCCCCAACCCCCGGTCCGTGGACCGGGACCGGTCCGGGGGAATAAAAAACTTGGGGACCACTGATTCAGACTGTTTGTTCTCGGACCAAATTAGGGGGAAATTAAATGACGAGAATGAAGTTATAATATTACGAGATAAATTTCATGTTACCAGAACAAATTCATAACATCGCGAGAATAAAGTGAGACCGTTTTGACGTTCAACCATGTTTTTATTGTTTCTCCCACTTTAACAGATTCATGTGTAAATAAATCACATCACATTTCAGATCCTGGTCTGTTGCCGATTTTCGAGATTGTTCCGGTTCGTTTGGACCAGAAAGTGTTTAAACGGGCCGGTGGTTCTGGTTGATCAGCAGCAATCTGAGTTTTTCTGATGAAAGAACAGAAATAAAAACCTGGAGGTCCGATCCGGACTCTGATGTCCGTCCTCTGGTTCTCCAGGCCGGACGCTTGGAACGTCACCAGCCCCGTCACCCGACCCAACTCCGACTCCGAACCGGACTCCCAGCCGTCCTACCTGCTGCTGGCCCCCGCGGGGCTCCGGCCCGGTCTCCCCTCCTCGGTGTCGGTCACCATCTTGGGCTCCTCGTCCGTCTCTGTCTCCGCTGAGATCGTCTATGAGAACGAGACGCTGTCCTCCAACTCCACCACGATTAAAGGAGGTGTGTGATGAGTTCGGAACCGTTTTGGGTCGGTGATTGGTTTCGGATCAGAACTTTAACCGCATGTTTTCCCGCAGGATCCACCAGGCTGCTGACCCTGCCTGCTGTAAGCTCCGAACCCTCCTCTGGTTCTGGAAACATCTGGGTCTCCTGATCATCCTGAGGTACGCTCTTTATCTCGGTAGATCCACCAAGTCGGGTCCAGCCCCGGACGGACCTACACCCTAAAGGTCAGAGGTCACCGCGGTCCGGTGCAGCTCTTCTCCAACTCCACGGAGCTGCACGTGGACCCCCGGGGCGTCTCCACCTTCATCCAGACCAACCAGCCGCGCTACCTGCCGGGCCAGATGGTGAAGATCCGAACCGTGTCGGTTCGCTCCGACGGGAAGCCCTGTTCCGAACCGGCAGACGTTCTGATCCGAGTGAGGAGCAACTCCGTTCAATCAGAACCCAACAGAATCCCTAAACTTCAAACCCTCAACATGCAGAACCATGTTTAGGGTTTGATGAGAGAAACCAACACAAAGCCGGGAAAGAAATCTGAAAAGTGTGGCGTGCTTTTATATAAAACCCAAGGAGAACCTCTAGCCCAGTCTCAGGTCTTACTCCTTCCGTCTTCCCACAGCATGATGCTGCCTCCACCATGCTTCACCGAAGGGAGTTAGTGTTATTCTGTGTTGGTGTTGGAACAGGACATGTTTAGAAAGGCTTAGGGGTGTGAAAACTTCAGTGCGGTTTTCTGATGCAGGATCCGAGAGGAAACCTTCTGAGACAGTGGCTGGACAAAGACGGCGTCCTGGGTGTGGTGTCCACAGAATTCCAGCTGTCGGAGAACCCCCCGCTGGGCGAGTGGAGCATCATGGCCACCATCAAGGTACGCTTGGGCCGACGTTCATTTAACAGCAGAAGAAGAACCGCATGAACCTGTTGAATCAGAACTGTTAAAACTATTTAAATGGGTTCAGCATTTCAAGAGGACTTTCAAATCATTTTTACAGATTTAATTCTTTTTTTGATCTGAAAATTAATTTTTATAGTAAAATAATAATAATTAGTAAACAAAAAATTTTCTGTCTGATTTAAAGTAGAAATGAGGATTGAAATGTTTTCAGTTTCTGTCCTCTGGGACAAAAACCCATGTTTGACTTCCCAACAACAGCAGAACCTGAAGCTAGCATCTCAGATATAATGCTAAAGCGCTAGACCACACGGTATTTAGCTGAAGCTAATGCTAAAGCGCTATATGAGAAATTTTGCTTCATCTCATCTTTGTGCCAAATCAAACATTTCAACAACGTCAAAGATTCTCGTTAAGCATCAATAAAGTTTCTATCCAGATTCACACAGAAGCTCAAAATGGAGGCAAAAGGAGGAAGAAGATTTTGTTCTAAAGTTCTGATCCGGGTTCAGGCCTGCTGACCGGATCGGAGCAGGGAGTCAGCCCAGTCTATAACCAGTGTCCTCCCAGTAACTCTGCTGGTTTGTGTGTTTGAAGGGAGTTTCCAGTGTGAAGCGTTTCAGCGTGGATTATTATGGTATGTCTGCTCCTCTTCCTCACCGTTAGCTGAGCAGAACCAACCGCAGAGACTCTGACCCACTTCCTGTCTGGTTCTTTCCAGTTCTGCCCAAGTTCGAGGTTCTAGTCAAAGTCCCGGACGTGGTCCACTGGGAGGACGTCCTGAAAGGCTTCGTCTCTGCAAAGTGAGGCCTGTCCTGGTCTCTGAGGGACGTTCTGTGTTCCCGATGAAACTGGACCTGCCGTGTTCTGTTCCAGGTACTTCTACGGCAAACCTGTCCGCGGACGCATGGTCGTCACCTTCAGCCACCGTTACCACGGCGACAATCAGACTCACAGCGAGGAGGCGGAGGTCAGGAAGCGAAGACAAGATTTAATGCAAAATGTTGGGAAATTGTCCTAAAATCCAGTTTTCCTCCAGATGGACGGATCTGGGAAGTTCAGCTTTGATGTTTCTCGGTTTTCTCCGTCGTGGAGCAGAATGTTGATCCAGGACCAGCGGGCCGACGTCCTGAGCGTCCAGGTGTCTGTGACCGAACACCTGACAGGTAACAGCACTCCACCTCACCTCTCAGACAAAAGCTTCAGAAAAACCTGATTCAAAAAAGTGATTTCATTTATGAGGAAAAACATTCAAGCTGTGAGAAAGGCCTCCTCAGGGTCAGAGGTCAAACGGCCTCCAGAACCAGAGCCACTGCTGACCCGAAGGAACACGAAGACCCAGAAACATCCTGATGAAAGTATCCTGTCACCTGAAGACAGAAAAGTGGAGCTTTTATTAATGAGAGCGTCGGAACCAGAACATGCAGTCGGACACGGTGGTGGCAGTGTGATGCTCTGGGCCTTCAGCTGCTGAACAACGATCCAGAAACATCAGCAGTCCGTTTCTGACGTGAATCTATTGCAGATTGTTCGGGCCAGGGGGGTGAATACTTTCCACACAGGCTGGTTTCCGTGGTTTCCGTGGTTACCGTGGGGACCTGCTGAGCCGAGTGATTCTCCGCAGGTCTGACCTGTAACAGCACAGTGAGCGTCGCCCTGGCTAAAAGCAGATTCTCCGTTACCTTTGAAGACTTTCCTAAAGTCCTCAGGCCGCCTCTCAGCTTCAGCGGCACTGTAAGGGAACCAGAACCAGAACCAGAACTTTTCTCTGTCCTTGGCGCTCTGTAACCAGCAGCTTGTTCCTCCTCCTGCAGCTGAAAGTGTCAACGTATAACGGCGAGCCGCTGCAGCACCAGAGGAAGCTCCGCGTGTCGGTGAAGCAGCAGCGGAGCCGAGAGACGGTGGACCAACAGATTCTTTTCCCAAAGAACAGTTCAGATTCCTCCTGGATGGATCGGGACGAGTCGTCCTCAGAGGACATGGAGCTGCCCGTCCCGGTGGACGGACTGGTCCCTTTGCACATCCAGGTCCAGAAGGACACACAGCGCCTCACTGTGGAGGTAAGAACACTGCAACATTAAACTCAGGAGATTCACAGAAACGACATTCAGCCTTCTTTTAACTCAGCATTTATTTTTAAATGTTTGAGGTTTGAAAAGATCAAACTTGCTTTAGAAAGGAAGTCTGGGAAGTTACACTGTCAAAACTGAACAGCAACATTTTAGTTTATTTAGAGAAAAAGATGAGTGTTCAGTCAAATTGCCACCATGTTCTTCAGACATTCATAAACATCATAGTTCCAGGCTGTGTATTTAGCTTTCTAATGAAATATTTAGCTAGGAGCTAGCAGACTAAATATGTAGCTCCACAGTAAATATTTATTTTTCAGAACTAAATGTGACTTTGGGTCAGTTAGCAGAGAACGTCAGGAAAACCTCCGTCCTGCTTTGAAAAAACCTTCATTCTGATAAGAATGAATAAGAATTAACTGAGGCCCTGAGTGAAGGGCCCGAGTCGACAGAGACAAAAGCTAAAACAAGTCTCTATGCTGGCACCGGGAGCCGCCTGGTCTAGTCTAGTTAAAACCCATTTGAATAAAATAGACTTATTGGAGGAGAAATAATAAAAGGACAATTAAATACACCCAGCAGCTCCCAACAAAAACACACAAATAAACCTCCCCTCCACCGGTCTCTCCAACATAAATAAAACAGCCTGGGGTCCAGGAACAACAGGCGGGCTCCCAACCCAAACCAACCCAACCCAACCCAATCCAACCCAACCCAACCTCACCCCAACCCAACCTCAACCCACCGCAACGCAACCCAAACCAACCCAACGCAACCTCAACCCAACCCAACCCAACCTCAAACCAACCCAAACCAACCTCAAACCAACCCAAACCAACCTCAAACCAAACCAACCTCAAACCAACCCAACCTCAACCCACCGCAACCCAAACCAACCCAACCTCAAACCAACCCAAACCAACCTCAAACCAACCCAACCTCAAACCAACCCAGCCTCAAACCAACCAGCCTCAAACCAACTTCAGACCAACCCAACCCAAACCAACTAAATATTTATGCTACTAGCGAAATATATCAAAATAACATCTAGAAAAACTGAACTGCTTCATCATCTCTAGTAACTTTATCTTTTCTCTGATGCTGAGATGACGTTGCCATGGTTACAGGACAGATGTCAGTTGCCTGAATACTTACAGGTCTTTCCTGTTTCCTTCAGGATTTTCTCATCTGATTTCATTTTTCTCCAGGTTTCTTTGGAGGACTGTGAGAAGACTCTTTCTGTGGACAGGAGCTTCCGCTCCCAGAGCCGCGCCTACCTGCAGGTCCAGAAACCCTCCTCACCTGCCCAGGTAACCCTCTTCACACATCCAGAAACATCCGGAGTGATTCCTGAATCTGTCGGTGAAAACTGAACATCTGAACCACAGGCTGCTGACCTTTCACCTCTCTGTTCCTCATTCGGTCACAGCTTCAGACTTTAACAACTGAACAGGATTAATGTCAATGTTCACTCATTCACTCATTCTCAATAACAGCAGGAGCAGAGGTGCATTATGGGAAAAACGTGAAAGAAAGATTTTACAATCCATCCATCATCCATCCATCCATCTGGTTTTTTCTTCTCCGTCTCCTCCAGGTTGGTTCCCGTCTTTGGTTGAGGGTTGAGAAGAATTTTCAGATTCCTGACGTTCACTACTTGGTGAGCATCTTCTCCTGGAGCCTGGAGCGTTTCCTGCCCATGATGCCTTGCTGATGCTCCGTGTCTGCAGGTGAAGTCCAGAGGTCAGGTGGTTTCTGCTGGGAGGAGCTCAGGTGATGTGAGTCTGGTTCCTGAGGTGTCCTGGGCTCCTCTGGCCTCCGTCATCGTTTACTGTGTCCATCCTGGCGGTGAGGTCATCAATGATGTCATCCATCTGCCCATCACACACTTCCTGCAGAACAAGGTCACTCACCTGCTCTGGACTTCCTGACAGCGTCATGTTTTCCCACCGATCAGTGATCGACTGGTCATCCTGTGATCCACCGATCAGTGATCAACTGGTCATCCTGTGATCCACCGATCAGTGATCGACTGGTCATCCTGTGATCCACCGATCAGTGATCGACTGGTCATCCTGTGGTCTGCAGGTGTCTCTGAGTTGGAGCAGCGACCTGCTGAAGCCGGCGGAGGTCGTGACCCTGAAGGTGTCGGTGGAGGAACCGGACTCTCTTGTCGGGATCCTGGTGGTCGACAAAGCCACGCGGTGGGCGGGGTCAAACAACGACATCACCATGGAAACGGTCAGAACCGCCAATACAGCATTTGATCTCACCAGAACTCAGAACCAACAATCAAACTGGTTCTTACTGGCTTTAATTGGTTCTGATTGGTTCTTTCTGCTGTTTCCAGGTGCGGGAGCAGATGACGGAGTGGTCCGTGGACGACGCCCTCAGCGATGGGAAGACAATGGGAGATCCGTTCTCTGTTTTCCATGTGATCCTCATCAGAAACCTGACCCGTTCCATTCATCCAGAACCAGCCGGTCCGGTTCCAGAACAGCAGAACTAACCTGAGCTTTGCTCCCGCAGACATGTGACCTGACTGTGATGACCGACGCCAGCGTGCCCAGAGCGGATCCAACATGGCCGCTGCTCAGTAAGTAGCTTACTGAGCAGCTTTTCCTTCACAGCATCACTACAAGACCTGGTCCAGGTCCTGACCCAGGTCCGGTTCTTAGCCTCAGAACCATCTGATCCTCAGCAGGTCTAACTCGGTTCCTGCTTCAGTCCTGGACTTATTTCAGGACTGATTCAGTTTCCGTCAGATTTTCTCCTGACTTGGGTCCTGTGGTGGCGCAGGAGTTCAGCACAAACCACATATGGACGCCTTAGTTCTCGACGTGGCTGTCGCAGGTTCGATTCCCGGCCTTTGCCACGTGTCTTCCCCCTCTCCTATTACCCACTTTCCTCTCAATTCACTCTCAAATAAAGGCCACAAGAAAAAGAAAAAAAAGATTTTCTCCTCACTTTAAATCATCAACCTGGAAAAGGTCAAAGGTCACCGCCAGACCACCCAAAGTCCATCATCCACCAGAGAGGAAAACATTTCAGACCTCCCAGCAGAGCAATGGGACTCTTAGTTCTACAGGAAGTTGGAGGTTCTACAGGAAGTTAGAGGTTCTACAGGAAGTTGGAGGTTCTACAGGAAGTTAGAGGTTCTACAGGAAGTTAGAGGTTCTACAGGGTTGGCCTGCCTGCTGATCCACTGTGGAGCTGCAGATGTTTGCTGAGAATCAAATGATAATTAATAATTAGTTGAATCTTCTTCTCACTACTGAAACTAATATTTGTGTTCTGATCAGCAGGAGATGATCCGGGTTTCTTCCTCCAGATGGACGGGGAACATTTCAGGAAACAACCAGAACCTAACCAGCGCCAGAACTTTCCAGAGACCTGGGTCTGGATGGACGTCAACACAGGGTGATGCTCAGCTTTCAGAACCAGTATCTGACCTCTAAACCTTTTGGTACCAGAACCTCCCAGGCTGAGCCAGTCCGCTGCTGGTAGAGGAGCAGCTTTTAGATTTTCTTTTAGAGGTTTTTGGCTACAGAACATCTTGACTGGTCTCCTCAGTTTGTCTTCGGGTTCTGCAGAACCCAGTTAATGGTTTATTCTTTTAGTTCAGGTGTGTTGAATCAGGTAAAGGTGGGGGATATAGACATGAACCTTGTGGTTCTGTCCCGGTTGTGGGACCCAAATGTTCCTCCTTGGTTTTCCTGACTGAATGTGACCTGAAATGTTTCTGCAGGGATTCCGACAGGATGCAGATTCCTCTGCCGGTTCCTGACAGCATCACCACCTGGACGGCCTCCGCCTTTGTCGTGTCGGAGAATCTGGGTCTGGGACTCACAGAGAAACCGGCAGAGGTATTCCCAGAACCTCCTGCAGCTGGCTGGGATGCAGCGGATCAGAACCTCTTCTCATCGACTCTGTGACTCCTCCTGTAGCTCACAGTGTTCCAGGACTTCTTCCTGTCCCTGAATCTTCCTGCCTACATCATCAGAGGAGAGGAGCTGGTTCTGGAGGTGGTTCTGTTCAACTACCTCCAAGAGGAGCTGGAGGTCAGTCTGCAGAGCTGCTCCCAGTAAAGCCACAGCATCCTAGCACTTAGCATAGCTTCCACTAATTACTGTCTTTATAGCACTTACACATTAGCATCTGCTAAATGTTGTGTTGATGTAGCACTTTAGCATTAACTTACACTAATTACTGTCTTTATATTATTTTATCGTTAGCTTGTGCTAAACATGGTGTTAGTATAGCTATTTAGCATTAGCTTCTGCTAAATATTTATCTGGTATAGCGTTTTAACGGGAGCAGAACTTATGTTTAGTGTTTAGGGTTAGCGCAGCTAGCTATTTAGTTAGCGGTGCCCATCACTAGTTCTCACTGTCGTTTTCTGTAGATTCTGGCTAACTAGCGTTAGCAGTAACTAGCGTTAGCCAGAATCTAACAGCAGTTTGATGAGCTGAAAAAAGCAAAAGCAGAAGAAATGCAGCAGAAACAAACTAACTAATTATTAATTTATTGATCATTAATGAGGTGAGAACAGCGTCATTATTTAGCACAGAGGTTCCCAAACTGTGGGGCCATTGCAGGGGTGGCGTGGGAAGCGGTATGGATGAACGGGGGAAAAAAACACCAACAATGATGAACACTGTGTGTCCTGGAGAGCATAACAGGAAGCAGCCCCTCCATCGTTCAACCAGAGTCCAACTCTCCCTACTGTGATCGATGGGGGGGCAGAAAATGTTCGGAAACCACTGATTTAGCAGGAAAATCAGAGTTAAGATCATCTGAAGTGGTTTCATCCATAGACATGAACACGTAGACACCTCATGGAGCGGGTCGGAGGTCATGGAGCGGGTCAGAGGTCATGGAGCGGGTCAGAGGTCATGGAGCGGGTCGGAGGTCATGGAGCGGGTCAGAGGTCATGGAGCGGGTCGACCCGTTGCTGCGATACGTAACACCGTCCGCCATATTGAATGTGGCCAATGTGCCAGTAAGCTAATACAGGTAAATGGACCGAACTTAAGAAATTGCCGTTCTACAAAGTATTTTAAATTAATTCCTGTC